CGTGAGGGATAAACCAGATAGTGACAGCTCTTAGAGGGCAAAGCCTATACTCATAGAAGCTTGGGTTACTGTATGTAACCATTGTTCTTTTACCACTGGCCATTAAATGACTCTACAAGGCTTTTGGGGGTTAAATGTTTTGCTTTTGGGCACCACAGTCAAGGACACCATCTTTTGTAGTTTCAAGAGAAAGAAAAGCCATGGCATTCAATACTAGGTGAGAGAAAAACAGTATTTTGATTTTCTGTATGTCCTGCACATATAGTATATTGACAATAAAAATCTTTGATCTAGAAAAGCATTGCTCATTTTGCTAGTTGCATTTTCCTGACCACCCCAGAGATTAAAAGTAGCACCTCTCTTTTCCAATAGTATACCAGTACCCTAAATAAATTTACTCACTTAATATTTCTTCACCGTATGGTCAAGCTAGGTTTGTTGGAGGACTGAAAATGCTCAGCAGTGTTCAACCTGTCTCTTTAAAATTCCTTGCATGCTAATGCAAAATGTATTTTTAGTGTTTTTGGTACTTTGGAACACATGGCTGGCACTGGTTTTGTTTTGCCACAAATTAAATATATGAAAATTTTTTAATAAATGTTTTGGCTTTTGAAACAGAAAGCTGAGGATAATGTTATATGAGGCATACAGTATATGTGTCTGAGGAAACGTTTAAGGAGGGAACATAAAATCACAAACCTCGAGCCTCTGTGTTTTGTTAAAGCCTCAGGTTGTAACAGAAATTAATAAATTGAGCCAGGAATACCAACCAAAATGCATCCATAATTTAAAACCCACCCTGCACAGTATGTAGGAGTACAGTGTCAGAGTTACAGTTGGATGTGTGTGAGTGGGGATTATACTCTACTGGTTTTTGAGGGCCTATTGGAGAGAATGGTTGAGCAAAAGACGTGGGAACGAAGTGGAGCATGTGGAAGAAAATAGAAATAAGGTGAGCACATTTCTGCATCCCAAGTGAGAGTTTTTTTGTGGGAAGGCTCAGTGCATCATTCAAGAAATCATCTAACAATACTGTGAGTCATTGAAACAGAAATACAAGACACCAAGATTGAAAAAAGGGACAGAAACATTTAGGAGACGAGGAGGTTTCCCTCTGCACTCAGTTCTACTTCAGATTAGATTGCTTTGTCTTCAGCCATGTTGAAAACAATCTCTAGTTTCCATCATTGCGTCACATGTGTATTTACATGACTTCATTAAATATACAATTCTACCAAAATAAACATCTAAAAAAACACTAGAAACAATGATTAATACCATTGACTTGCTCACTTGAAATCAATCCATTTAATAGCACAAAAGCCTCCCTTTGTAATCAAGCTAATAATAATTATTTTGTACTAATATCTTTAATGAGGGCCCATTAAAAATACCAAAGCTGCCCTGTACAATACCTGCTGCCCGCCACAGTTAATAGCAGAGGGCCCTGCTGAATATGAATGAGGGTTTGTTCTGTAGTTGTAGAGACAGTTTGGGTTAATTAGAAGGAACCTGGTTTCCTGTGGCACTGAGAACCCATGGAGGCCTCCTCTTAGCTCGGTGGGATATAATGAATAGTGCAGATCTGTTGGCTGTGCTGTCTGCTCAGGGAACACTGTTGATGTGGTGCCAGGCACATTTTAAAGCCTAGATAATGTTCGGCAAGTGCAGCTCTCGTGTGTCCAAAGAGGGGCTGGAGTGCATGCTGATGCGCAAGGGTGGAAGACATCTTGAGCATATCTGTGGCCAATCGCAGTGCTAATATAGATAAGGCTGATTCAGTCAGAGTGCCCTAAACCGGGAATTCACTTCTCCTTTATTTAGTTTATGACAAGGTCAAGACCTCTTTGCCTTCTGCCCCAAAGTGTTCCCCTCTTATTCTCAATCTGGCTAAGCTACAAAAATATTAATGTCTAGTCACTGTAAAAGAGTGACTGGAAATTATAATTCAGTAGGTGTTAACTGTTCATATGATGCACTATAACTACTGTTTTCCCTTGATACAGATTATTAAATTTGTTGATAAATGTGGAGTGTCCAGTACTGGTATTTAAAATCTTTACCTCAGTAGGATCATTTATATTTAGGCCAACATGAGGCCAGATGTTGCTGTGGCAGCCTATTGTGACCAAGTGAATGTAAATGCTAAACTACAGAATTTTATCACACTGACACATTATGTGTGATACTTGATAAGATCAGTATTAGCTGTACTGGTTCAGCATATTGGATATGTGCATACCTAGTTGATAGTCTGATTTATATCACTGCATTGTAAAATAAATCAAGCAGCAAACAGGGGAATGCTGCATAGCTACAGGCAGCACAAGGACATCAACAGGAGGTAATGGCAATATAATATACTCCTCAACTTGATTACAAAACTGTACGTAATGTTTCCAGTTCCACTTACATTTCACCACAGATAAATTTCACTTTGCCAATTGTGGATGAAGGAAGGAAATGTAGCAAATGGTATGAAACAAACATACAAACTCCAGAAGACAAAAAAGTGGCCAGAGCCACCTCACACAGTGTGCCAGTGGAGGGTTACAGTGGATTATAGTGTTCAGTAGAAATAGTCTTGGTTAAGTGGTCTGCCAGTTAGTATGGCTGCCATGTGCTGAATGAAAAGCTGAAAAGATATGCATCAAGTACTTAATAAAGCAATAAGACCCAGTGGAATGTGAAACAATGGCTGCTTACAGGTGGTGTTGTGCTATGAGAGTTGTGGGGGGAATTGGATGAGACAGAAAGCTCGTATGGCTGCCTGGCTGTTAGCATTGAACTTGGCAGCTCTCTGCTAGGGAACTGCTGAGAGGCAGGCGTGCCTGTCACAGCATATCAGTGCCTCCTTGCACAGCCCTGGGCCCTATAGGGCAGTTCAGCTCTCCTGCGTTTAGCTCCCAGACTCAGTTCCACACTCAAGCCCCAGATCAGTGTATGTAGCAGGGGCAAGTGTCATAGCCTTTATATGGACTCTGTGAGAGGTGAGAGACAGGCCACTGGTGACACCGTGTGCTATGCACACTGCTAGTTATACTCCTCGTGCACTACTCTTAATTAGACAGACAACTTCACTGATTAAATTATACTTGGGTAGAGTATTTCTAGAGAAATAATATTTAATAGTTGATCACTAAAAACAACTCAAGTGTACAGTTTTTAGCACGGTTGTTGTTATGCATACCTTACAAAGTGACATTCTTTAAACATAATAATCACCTTTAGTGGCCAAGTATGTTACACACAAGGAATTTGTTTCCGGTACAAAACTGATGGCAGCCATCTGCGGTGACAACTTAACCGATGGCTCTAACCATCGGGGGCAACTTGGGGGTTCAGTGTCTTGCCCAAGGACACTTTGACATGCGGACTGCAGGCACCGAGATTTGAACCTCCGACCCTCCGCTTGGGAGACGACTGCTCTACCCACTGAACCACAGTCCCTCAAAGCCTGTATACTTTCATATCTATTTACTGTAGAATGTCCCACAAACTGGCCCTGAATATCCTAAAATGACTTTTTTCTTTTTACAATGGTAGATAATTATTTTTAAACAGTTTTATTGGTATTTTATCATACAAATTCACTGAGTATTACTTTCTATTTTTTCGAATAGTTATAAGGAAAATTGAACATTAAACACAGCTGAGAAAAAAGTGCTACCTCACTGCTACTGTAAAAGCCATGGATTATGATATTTATTTAATAATTTACCCTTTAAAACCCAATAGATGGAAGTATAGTAAATGCCATCTATAGTAAGTGATGCAGGAGCTGAGCATCTTACTAGTATCAACGATTACTGCATGCTAAAACCTCATCAGAATATAGTGAAGTGACTTCCAGAGATCACTTCAAATGAAAGAGTGACTTTAAATGATCTATGGTCCTTTTGTGGCCTACAGTAGAAGTGATGACTAATATGTGTGGAACATTTTGTCTGTGCACTGTTTCCACAATAGCACTTAAGTGAGTGTGTGTGTCTGACAGTCTGTCCCCATGCTGGGAATCCCTTTGCTTGTTTAGTTTACTTTAGCCTGACCTTTGCTGGATGTTTGCATAGCCTGGCCCAGCTGTTTTGACTAGTGCAGTGTAAGCATCAGCTCTGTCAGCTAGTTTTCCTGGTGAAAGTATGTGGCACTTTCATTTTTTAATTAATTAATTCCATTACATTTAAAAAATGGGTTCTGTTATTTCAACTCATGGCTTCTTTCTACACAGCATGGGAATATTTTTAAGGTCTTATTTCTTGGTGAAGTCAAGGCAAATCATTTTATAAATGCCCATTGAAGGCAAAAATACAATATTAAAACATTCTGTGTAAAGCAAGATAAATGTTAAAACAATGAGACAGCACATTTTAATTTTCCCATGGTTTTGAAAGGCTCCTTGGCAATAGTATAAGTCTAATTTAATGCCCTAAATCCTTCTCCTTGTGTTTGCTGAATTTCACTGCCCTAGTATTGATCTTTCTTGGCATGTATAGGAAAGCAAAATCAACTAGAAGTGGGAACTCATCTGATTTCCTGCAATGCGTTTGTCTTCATATGGCTCCAAATGCCTTGATTCCGACGCTCTGTGAGGATGTTAAAAGTATTGATTCTGGTGTGGATTTTGACCTGGTAAAGGAAGACAAAGCACTCTGGCCTTGTCTTCTGGCCTTGAGACACACTTGCATATTTCAGACACATTTCCAATGGGCTGTCTGGCCAAATGTTTTTCAGTCAGAGAAATTACAGTATCAATTGTAAGTGACTTTATAGAGTGAAAAGAGAAAGCATGTGGGAAAGGGGAAAGATGAAAAGAGACTCAAAGAAAGATGAATTGAGATGATACACTTTTAACATACATGCATTGTATTTTATAGCCGGATTGCTTTTCCAGTTGAATGAGGAAAGTGCTGTTTCAGTATAATACAGACATTCATTCTGCTTTATTTTTGTGAAATCTGAAAGCCCTTTCTTCTTCTTTTTGTTTTTGTGCTTTTCTACAGATGTTCTGTGGACTGCTGATGATTTCTCCTCCTCCTCCTCCTCCAGTTCAAATTCAGTGGCAGACAAAGACTGCAATTCCCACTGCTCTTGTCACCACTGAGCTCACAAAGGCAGATCTGGTCCACAGCTAAACCATTGTCTGTGTTTTTGTGCTTTTGTTTTTGCCAGTGTTAACTCTCTAGTCATCATCATGGCTTGTTTTCTGGCATCAACCTTTCTTTTGGTTCTTCAGACATATGCTGCACCACCCGAGCTTACCCAGGTAAGCTTTGACATAACAATGGGCTCCGTGGACCTTCATTCTGGACTACCAGGCAATGTATCTGGAGCTGTGCCTTCCTCTCCACCCCCAGGAACTAGTAAAAGAGCCCCACAAAGCATCATCATTGGGGTACGTAAGGGAGGCACAAGAGCACTGTTAGAAATGCTAGACATACACCCTGAGGTTGCTGTTGCTGCCACTGAGGTGCACTTTTTTGACTGGGATGAGAATTATGCCAAGGGCTTTGAGTGGTACCGTGAGTTGATGCCATACTCTTACCCACAACAGATCACAATAGAGAAAACTCCAGGTTACTTTACATCGGCCCTTGCACCTGATCGCATCTGTGCCATGAACTGCTCAATAAAGCTACTACTGATCTTGCGAGATCCCGCCGATAGAGTCATCTCTGATTACACCCAGGTGTACTTCAACCGGCTGGAGAACCATAAGCCGGTGCAAGCCATTGAGAACTTGCTAGTGCGCAATGGTGCTCTGAATATCCGGTACAAGGCCATTCAGAGGAGCCTGTATGACATTCACATGCGTAACTGGCTGCGTCACTTCCCCCTGGAACAAATACACATTGTAGATGGCGATGCTCTGATTCGCAACCCACTGCCAGAGCTTCAGAAGGTAGAGCGCTTCCTCAGTTTGCCCCCAAGGATAGTGTCATCCAACTTCTACTTCAACCAGACCAAAGGATTTTACTGTATCCGAAGTGATGGTCGAGAGCGTTGTCTGCATGAGTCTAAGGGTCGCCCTCATCCACCTGTTAACAGCACCGTCCTCCAACAGCTCCGCTTGTATCTACAGGAACACAACCGAACCTTCTTCAGGCTGGTGAAGCGCACCTTTGACTGGCAATAAGAAATCCAGATCACAAATCAGACTCAAAGGAGCATCTACATTTTCTGTGATGAGGACAAAAAGAGGCATAAGGCACTTTACAGACCATTATTAACATTCAAAAACACAGAATAACTACTGTTGTGGTCTCTGGTTGCTGCAAAAATATGAAAAACTGTAACTAGAGGCATAAGATTAAATGGAAGAATTTCCAATCTTAATAAATCATTCTCTCTGTGCTGGAAGCATTTAAGTTATCAAACTATGGCAAAAACAAGTTTATGAAACTGATGAACTTTTTTCTTCTCTCTTGTTTGATATTCTTGTTCTTGATAATAAATTGTTCTGCATTTAAATGTACCAGAAAAGTACCATGTTTTTATGTCTCTACATCTCATTCTGGCTATCAGAAGACCCTGAGCTGTCTACTCTGTGTTATTTAAAGAGTATACTAAGGTAGGCAGTGGCATTAGATCAAGTCTTTGATTTGCTGTGGTCTAAGGTAGACATTAATGCAAGGAAATGGGTACCCTGCAGCAGAGCTTTAGTAGTACAGGAATCACTAATGGTTTTGGACATTGAAGGTAGCCTGTGCCTGGAGCTAAATCAGTCACATCACCATAGTCAGCAAGCTCAATTCCAGGGAGTAACTGTTGCATTTTGCCACTGCTCTGTTCAACAATTTGCTCAGGTGTTAAATGTAGTCATTAAATTATATGCCTAACAGTGCTGTAAATCATTTCCAAATGATACTGTATCTGTGTAGAGTTTTTTTTATGTATTATCTCTTTCCTGAATCATGCTTAGCATGCAGTTTTCCCAGAAACATCTTGTTGTCTTATACAAAACAGATAGACATGGGTTATGTTTCTTTCATTGATTAGGCTTTAAACAGCAGCCAAAGCTACAGCTCCACTGGGAACTGATATTCCTGTGATCTCCCTGCACTGCCTGCTGGAATAAGCACTGTATCTCTGCTCAGGCAAACAGTCATTGATGCTACATTGGATCTATATTCAGAATAGAACAAGGGAGATGGGGCACACAGCTGCAGGTTATGCAGAAATATGCTAAAAATTTAGATGAATAGTTCACGGGTGATCTGGGGTTTTATATTTAGACTGGTGTAATTTCCATGTATGTACACAAGTACTGTTGGATGACAAAGTCAACGCTAAATGAAATCATCCATTACTCATCTCACTCAAGAACTTTTCCCCTTTCTGTTCATCAGGGTAACAGAAGGAATGTGAAGAAATTTGTCTAGATGTGCTCTTTCTAGGATCCCCTCTGACAGTGCCCACACAAGTGAAGGGCCCATGGCAGTTACCTCATGACCCTGGTCAACACCTGTCCGCTCTGGTATGTATCATCTAGAAGAGAACGAACTGTCCTACAGCACAAGCACCAACCATTCCCAAGGTGTTACATTGGCACAGCATAGTATTTTCATTAAGCAGGTGAGCATAAAGGACAAAAAGGCATGTTTGCTTAAAATGTGAGAGTACACTCTGAACAGATTCCCATTTATAGCTTTTATTTATTTCAGGCAAAGTTGACTCACTATGTTGTTTTGGTGAAAAACGGGAGCTACATAGTGCATCTGTAGTTGTCTAGTGTTGGATTCTGAGGAGCTGCAGTCGAGCAGTGGGTTGAGTAAGGATAACAATATCAGTGTATCCTTTGAAGTTAACACTGTAACAAATGGAACAATATGACTCGCTTAGTGTTCTATAGCATTAAGTTTTTATACAATACGTCAAGCTGTGAGAGATTGGCTCTTTTCAACGATAATCCAAGGTTTGTTTTGGTTTGTTCATGGGATTTGTTGATGGTAATCTTCTACTTAGCTGTTCCCGTTCTGGCTTGCCACGGCGAATCATCTGTTTCCACCTAACTCTATCCTCGGCATCCTCTTCTCTCACACCAGTTCACTTCATGTCCTCTTTTAGCACATCCATATATCTCCTCTTTGGCCTTCCTCTTGACCTCTTGCCTGGCAGCTCCATCTCCAACATCCTTCTACCAATTTAACCACTATCCGTCCTCTGCACATGTCCAAACCATTTCAATCTGACCTCTCTGACCTTGTCTCCAAAACAGCCGACCTGAGCTGTCCCCCTGATGTGCTCGTTCCTAATCCTGTCCATCCTGGTCACTCCTAAAGAGAACCTCAACATCCTCATCTCTGCTATCTCCATCTCTGCCTCTTGTCTTTTCCTCACTGCTACAGTCTCTAACCCATACAGCATAGCTGGTCTCACTACTGTCTTGTACACCTTTCCTTTGATTCTTGGTGATTCTCTGATGTGCTCATTCCTAATCCTGTCCATCCTGGTCACTCCTAAAGAGAACCTCAACATCCTCATCTCTGCTACCTCCATCTCTGCCTCTTGTCTTTTCCTCACTGCTGCAGTCTCTAACCCATACACCATAGCTGGTCTCACTACTGTCTTGTACACCTTTCCTCTGCTCTCACTACAGATCACAATGTCATCCGCAAACATCATTGTCCACGAAGATTCCTGTTTGACCTCATCTGTCAACTTGTTCATCACCATAGCAAACAAAAAGGGACTCAAAGCCGATCCTAGATGTAGCCCCACCTCCACCTTGAACTCCTCTGTCTGACCTACAGCACATCTCACTACTGTCGTACTCCTCTCATACATATCCTGAACTACTCTGACGTACTTCTCTGCCACTCCTGACATCCTCATACAGTACCTTATGGTACTGTATATTTCTGGTTTTTGTGTGAATCAAGCCTTAGCTTCTACCAAAAGAAAAGAAATGTAACTCCCAGTAACTCCAGGGCTACCTCCTTGTTAAACCACAATGAATTATTTTCCATGCACCAACCAATTGACATCCTAAGAGGCCACAGTCTTAGCATAGTTAAAACAAGTTGTAATGTAAAGTAAATTAAACTGAAACCAGTAAAATCATCATAATGCTTTTTAAGTACCTTCCTTAAGACCAGAGAGCATCTGGTTATAAAGTCTGCCACTTAAATCTGAAGCCACAAAATTGCTGAATTAGTGCTCTGTCATTAAAAACCACAATGTGTTGGGCATGAAGCTTAATTTTCTGTTTTACTGCTTTTTTTTGGTATAGAAAAAAGCCAGAGTTTCTTTGGGCCTGACATCTTATAATGCAAGATAACTAATTTAAAACCCTTAACACTAACATGTTTAATGGCTGCTATTGAGTGAGTCACTTATCACTGCATGTCTTTGATAAGCGCCAACCTCGAGCGTAATTAAAATTTTGAGGGGTGGTCTGGAGCAATCTGCTGTAGATGTTTTGGCTGGTCCTGTCATTCTAGAAGGCTCTAATGATCTGTCTGGGAATGTGATTGATGAAGCACTTAGCATAAGGAACATTCACTGCTTGCTAAGCTGTTTGCAAACCAACAGCCACTGTATTTGTCTGTTACAGAGGTGTCCTTAATGTGAATTAATGACCTCCATGTCAACATTTGTAGCAGAATCTAATGCACTGTTAAAGTTGACTGACATGGCTCAGCGGGTGAACATAAGCTATAAACAGCATGGGTCAGTGAATGGCGCCATGGCTCAGTAAGATGCAAGATTTGGTTTTGTTATATCTTTTTCTTATTCATCAACACTGTAGTACTTGCATTGTCTTTACAAGTAATTAGTTACACACTGAATGGTTTACTGTTTTAATGATGATAAGGTTTTATAGGATTTCAAACATAATCTTATTGCCAACTGAATCCACACAGCTGTGCAGTCAGGTGTGACCATCTGAACAATGCCTCTAAGCTTTCATTATTATGAAGCTATTTCTAAAATATCAAGGTGGCTCATTTGCAGAATAAAAATACTTTCATTCAATTCTTGACAGTGAGACATCATCCAGCAGCAATATACTGCTGACTCAAATGCAAGAAGCCTGTGGGAGCAATGCATAGTATGTAGCCAACAATGATGTACATAGACCCAACCCACTCAAACCTCTGAAAATTGAACATAAATCTATGAAATTAGGGCCCCAGAAACTGACTTGGTTCCCAAAATACACGCTGGATTATTGCAAACACAAAACACGTAGAAACATAAAAACTTTGCAGATAAACATGTTTTTCACACATATTTTAAAGGCTCCGTGTTTTTTTCCTTTGTGATTATTTATTCATTTGTGTGTTGATTTATTTTTATTTTTCATTGCCTCAGGTGCAGAGGGCATGTGCTTGATGTGCTCCCATGGCAGTCTTTAACTAAAGGGGAGGAAGATTGTTGCTGCATTCAGGTCAAAGGGAGGAGAAAAAAAAGTGTCTGCTTATTTGCAGCTGTATTATAAAAGCCTCAGATTACTCCTTTGAGGCAATGAAAAGACTAAGAAAAAGACCTAAGGTGAGATCAACGCTACAAATGCAGAGCTCACACTAAAAATGGTCTGTGAAGGCATGAGTGAGGGGTAATAAAATGAAGCACAACTTCCAGATACTGATGCTCCTTCCAGCACTCTGATTGTTGACCTCTTGCTGCTCTACAGGAGACAGAATGTCAATAGAGGGTCTCAGCATTTCACTGCACCTGTTAATGATTATCTTTAACAACCAGTTTTTTCACTCTGACCTTTCTTGTTATTGTAAAAAAAGAAAAGTCAAGTCTGTGCACAGAAATGCTCATGCAAACCTGTTTCCTAACAGGCTAGAAACCAGTGAGCTCTGCATTTAGTATGTTAAACATTTTTATTACAGGAAGTTAAAGTTTTTGTTCACAGCTCATATGCATCCTCTGATGAGGGGATCATGAGCTGGTACTGCTCAGTTACAATGTTGTGAAAGATGCTATTTGCAATTAGAAAATTAACTTCTTATTACTTTTCTTCAAACAGTGTGAGGTGATTGACAGTTGACAGTTCATATGGTTTGAATGGACATGAAACTCCCAAGGTCAATGATTAGTACAAGAGATTAACAACTATGGAAACTATCTGACAAAACGTTGAAGGTACAAGACTGTGCACATGAAAACTAAAAGTTTAGCTACCACTCTGAGGGTGAATTTTGGAAAGAAATATCCACTCACCGCGTACTATTCTGTGCGCTGAAGATTAGGTAACAACTAAAGGTTACAGTGTTGAGAAACTGGAAAACATAATCTGCAGTTTAAATCAATTTATTTTTAAATTCTCAATGAATTTTAAATTAGAAAATTTGTAACAACTGCCCGTGTTTTCTTCTCAGCTTCAACAACAAAGCATTATGAATTATCTACCACAACAGTACGCTCTCCGTGTCGACAGTACCTGAGGCTCATGGGTGCTGACTATTTAGAACTGCCCATCAAGCCAAACTGTCAAAAACATTATTTTTCAAAAACAAGTTAAAATGGTAGACATTACAGAGGATACCATCAAAAGAAAAATTTGAAATGGAAATAAAGGGTCACAAGCCAATAGGGTTGGAAACCATTGCTATATACTACCAAACACATAAAGGTGCAAAGAAACTCCAACATTATACAGCATTTGTGGTGTTTCCAGTTAGGACCTTTGATGACATGCATTTTCTTTTTAAATGTCACACTAGGCGCTCTCCATTTGTTTGAGTGCTGATACAGCATATAGACTTTGTGTCTGTTCTTGAGGTGCCAGTCATTGTTTTCCTCCAG